CAAAAAATGTTTCTAAAATTCTGGATGATGAACTTGCTTAATTTTCTTACTTTTATAACTAATAGCGACAGTATCAAATTTAACTTTGCATCAGCTGAGCAACTATATATTTTGGTGCATAACAAACTCCAAAAACAAAGAAATTAATTGTCTGGATGAAACTAATTGTCTTTATAGCCATAACGACAATGAGCTTAAATGAAACAAATCTAACAAGTCTATTTTTATAATGTAAGGAGTAGAAAGTAGAGATAATTACAAAATAATTTAGAGTAGAAGTAAAAAGTTGTCTAAACGTATTTACTCCAGTAAAGTATAGATAGCCGAAATTTCTATTGAAGTACAGTGACAAAGTATTTGTACCTTGTTACTTGACAACTTTGTACTTTTGGTCCTTTTTATGTCGTTGTTTTTTCCTAAATCAGCTGTCAGTCAAACAGTCACTGGAGTCTCACTTATAGCGATCTGGATAACTTTAATAAAAATAAGTTTATGTATGCCAACTGTTTGTATTTCGATTTTATGTTACCTAAAATATTTTCATCTTTTTGTTTATTTTTCCATTAGCCTGCTTGTGTAAAAGATTATAATTTGTTTTTGAGTAACTGGCAGAAACGCCACAAATTACCCTCACATTCAATGCAGACAAGGAGAAATATAAGTGCTTTAGCATTTTAAACAAAATAAGTAGTTTAAGCTGTTCAGTAGCAGTGAAAATTTTTTCACACACAAAAAGAAATTAACAGATAAACTGTTTCAGATTATGTTTTATTTTGGAAATAAGGCATTGAATATATATGGCTGTACAATCCTCCGCTACTCTGTCAAATAAAATGTTTCACCACAGTGTTGGTTTATGAAATTAAAGCTAATTAGTTATATTTCTTAGTGTCTAAAGTGTGGTTAAACTATTTTTTTATACAACAGAATGTTAACTTTAATCCAGAAAAAGACAATTTCATTATAAGAAAAACACAGAATCTTAATATAGTCAACTGAGCCAAAGCAAAGGCATTAGGATGGTGATGTGCAACGTTACTTGTACTTTTCATAGGAGTTAACCAATTAAAATCCAAAAGATAAATGTTAAAAAATTATGTATTCTGCTTCAATAATACATTTTCTTTGCACAGCTGCTTGGCAACATCATTCAGTGGGATGGCATCTTATCCTTTTCCTGTCTGAGGGATCTGGCTTTGGACAGCACTCTTAACAGATACATCCTCTCTGCACTTCAGAGTACAGATATAGGAGAGGAGAATGTGCAGAAGTGCCAGAAGGTGAGATATTCAGATTAAAAATTAAATTTAAATATATATATATATATATATATATATATATATATATATAATATATATATATATGAGTATTGTTTTCCTTGAAATTCTTTCTAAATATTTGAAGAAGAAGCTAGTAGGCATTTTTTTTTTCTGGTTCATGTTCTTGTGTAAAAATGTGACAAAGCAATGCTTTTCCCTGTGAAATTAGAACAAGTTGTGTGGAAGGACAGTGGGTTACAGGGTCACTTTTATTTGCCACAATACAAACAAATTAAGTGATATTCAGAGAGGGCATTTAAGGTAGCATCATCACATCAAAGCAACATGTTCATTCAGAAACCTTTCAGCTGATTGACTGGATGCTGTTTAGATGCATGTATACCCACTTTGATATAGAGCTAAAATAACTAGAATTCTAAGAATTTCTTGTATTGTTTGAATGCATTTTTATGATTTGTGAGAATTTTATGTAGGGTTAAGCCCCTTAACTTTGTAGTTTTAAGTTATTTAAAATAAAGCATAAAGAGTTTGTAAATTTACTATTTTCTGTAAATTTCTTAACTTAGTTAAACATAAATGATGTGCCTTACATGTAAAAATGAATCCATTATTATAAAAAACTATTATATAGCATTAGTTATTACACTTTTTTTTTATGAATTTCTTTTAAGCTCTTCAATCCAAATCAGGTGTTAAACCTTTTTTTTTATTTGTGACTCACTGTTAAAAGTCACTAAAATGGTTGGTTGTTTTTCAGGTGGTGGAGTGTTTGCCAGTACAGTGGTTCTCAGGGCTGAAAGGCCAGCAGACCCTTCCTCAGTTGGAGCCCTTGTGTCGCTACCTCACACACCTAGCTAACACTCTGCACCGCAGCAGTGTGCGGGGTTCTGATATTGAACGGCGCACCGCTAAGTAAGAAATACTATGTTCCTCTTTAGATTATTCTGATGATGGTTTGTCTTTGTTTAAAACGTTTTTAGGCATTCATGTAGGACTGAAACAATTGGATTAATTTTGATTAATTGATTATCTAAATAATCAATTAATTTATTAATTGTTAACTGGAGGATAGAGACTCTAAAACGTGCCTTTACCTGACAGAGCAACCCAGTTAGAGCAGTAATTATATTAAAATTGTAAAAAAATATATTTGAATATTTTGCATTTAAATTGAAGAAAATCTTGTTTGTCCGTCGATTGGTCTAACTAGCCTCCCTAAGTGGAAACGTTTTAGTTTCTCCTGGTTTGAATTTGTAAAAAGTCTTTAAGGAACATTTGGCTATCCAATTATTAATCGATTGATTGAAAAAATTAAATAAATTTGCAAAATAATTGTTTGTTTTAGTCCTACATTCATGTTTGTTTCACTTATGTTTTTAATGTAATCACTGTATTGTTTTTACATATTCCTATAATGATTTTCATAAATCCTGTGTCTACCAATAGGGAGCAAATAAGGGAAGTGGTGAAGATGTTGGGACGCATGAACGCCCTGGACCACATCATCGCCGTGGCAGAAGAGCAAGGCGTTAAAGACATCAAACAGCTCATGGAAGTGAAATAATAGAATACAACCAGAGACTGCTCTTCCTCTACCTTTTGTTCTGTACATTGGAAGCCAATTAGGGTTGGTTGAAAAATGTGCAATAGGAGAAATATTAATTCAGCACTTGTTGCATTCACAAGATTAGAGTACTCTGTAAATATTGTGAATAATGTACAGTATTCTTTAACACCAGCTGGCACAAAGCTGAAATAAAATCCTGTTTTGCTAAATCAGAAGGCACACAATGGATACATTTTAGACCCATAATTTATTATAAAAATGTGTCATCCTGAAAACATTTTTGAATGTCTTGACTCTCAACCCCACTATTTAGTTATTGTTTTTTACTGCTAACATTGGCTTTGTTCAGATTGTGTTAAAAGATAGATGTTACTTGCTTCTTTTTTTCAGCCCAGTCTTAACCATAAGCACCTTCATCACATCCAAAATGTTCTGAAAGTTTGTAAGTTATGTTTTTATTGTGTTTTCCTGTGAATAAAACAAATGGTATTCGAGTTCCATATTCCCTATTGAAATTGATAATGTATATAAAAATGCATTTCAAGTCCTAATTTCTGCTCATTTGAATCAATCGCTATTAACCTCTATCCATTCGGGCATTTCATAACTTTGATCAAAATTACTTAAAACATTCAGAGGTTTAAAGTATATGAAAAAAATTAGCTATATTCAGGAGTTTTCAATATCAAAGGGATAAGTAGAATTAAATCAGAAAAAAATGAAATACCAAAGGGAATAGATATTGAACATTTTAATCTATTAGGTTTTTTTTATTACATTTGTATGAAGAAACTAGTCACACACCTTGCTTAGATGTGAATTCAACCCATTCCAACCAAACTAAAGCTCTTCTTTTTCCTTCACTCTGACTTTTGTTCTTTCAAAACACGGAGACATGTCAAGTAATTGACTCAGCCATTCTTTCAGTTTGGATTGGGCTATTTTCTTGCTTGGAGGTCTCTTCATTCCTCTATTCACCTTCTTTCCAACTACCAGGTCATCCTTTATAATAAAACGGTCTAGGAATAAGTCTGTCTTAAATTAAGTGTATTTACCCTGGATTTGAGTAGCTAAATAAGATGCTTTGCCAGTGGATTGGAGATTCTAAATAAGGTAATTAGATAATATACACTTGAAATAAGACGATGAATTTTTTTTTCTTATTTTAAATGTAAATTGTCTTGTTCCATTGGCAAATTGTCCCTCTTACCATCTCAATTCAAGAAAAAAACACATTTCAAGAAAAATGACTTATCTAGATTTTGATTTTTTTTTTTCAGTGTACATTTAAAGACGGGTTTGCTATAACACTAACCCTTTTTATGTGTACAGAACAGGTAATTTCCGACATCTGGTTCGAATTGTATATGAGTTCCCTCATGAGATATATTTAACTATTTTGTTGTTCACATATGACAATTATTTTTGCAGCTTATTGCTATTTGCCTCTATCCAGTCCAGTCCTTCCCTTTTTTGGGTAAGATCTAAAGTCAGAGTTAAGGAGGGGTAAAATTTAGGAATATCTGAGCTGTTGCCAAAGTCTCAGATTAGTCTGGATTGGGTTGAAGTACTGCTTCTAATTGCAATCAATTAACCTATCAATTTTATGAATGGCCTCTGAATCTGTCCCAGACTCTTGAATCAGTTCCACTCTCTCTATATTGCTGGTATCCAGTTTCCACCCCCAGTTAACCTTCTGTTAGTAGGTACTGTCTCTAGGCAGATTGTCACTTTTGAAATGTGATTTATCCTTTTGCAGGTTACCAGGAACTTTGCAGTCCAAGGTCATCATTATGAACACAAAGTTATTTATATGTTTATAATTATAATATTAGTAAATACACTAATAACATTAACTTTTGTCTTTTGACCTGAGTTACTAAGAAACTTTGCAAAGATGCATTATTTTGGACCAGCTTATACACATGCAACATGCTTTGTTAGTGTTTTGTGAACTTTTAAAGATCAAACCAAATTCAGAATACGCTGCAAAGCTTATAAAGGTTTTCTAATTGATTTTGAAATCTCTTTTTTTTTTTCGTAAAAATAAATAAATATCGGAATTGTTTTTAATCACTAGACCCAGCAAAGTAATCATCTGATTTGAATAGTAATAAACGGGCGGAGCTGCGTTTGGGTGACTCCCTCCTCCGCCTGAGCAAGTAGGCTACTACCAAAAAAATCATAAAGTACTATCTACCTTTACGGACACTTGTAAAGCTTATTAAGCAGTTAGTCGCGGAGTTTTTTTTTTTGTTAAATTGTTTATTCTGCAGACTTTTGGAAACTCTTATGTTGGAGCTCTTCCTTGCGGACAGACGGGGCTTTGGCACTACTCAATTGTAAATACATTCGCTTGTATTCCGTTCTTTTTTATTATTATTTTGCATCCAAGTTTAGATAAAAAATGTTCTGATATAGTCCAAATTTATACTGTGGCCCTTAAGCTAATGATGGCCTTTGAACGCATGTGTCTTAATTTTCATTTCAGTTTTTTTTTTTTTTTAAGTCTTTCTGGATGTGCAAGCAGAGAACTGAGTTACATAATGTCCTATTTCCTCGAACACAGCTTGTATTGGTGTTGGTTGATCCCTGATGCAGGTTACTTAAAAAAAAAAAAAAAAAGGGCTTAGAACTGTCGGGACAATCAATTTTTCATATTTAAATATCTTTCTTTAATTCATCTGAGTTCTGGTGTGGGAAGAGCTCTTATGAACGATTCAGCGGGTGGGCCGTGAAGGCAACATGCGGAGTGAGAGCAACAAGTGGTCTCTGTCAGTGAGTGTGAAAAGAAAAAATGTTTCGCAATCGAGAAATAAGCAGACTTTTCAGCTTCGGAAGATTCTCACTCATCCAGGACATAGTAATGTAAAAAAAAAAAAAATTAAACGTATTTTTTAAATCGTTTTTGACGTTAAATTAAATACAAAATAACTCACCATGAACAATGTTATCAGTTTAATTTGGTCTCTGTTTTATTAGGGAATATATTGCTTTGAGATTAAAAATGTATTTAAAAAAAAAACAAAGGGGCCAAAATTTGCATAAATTTTAATTGGTCATATTTTTATTTTAAAAAAGAACAGCTTGACAGCAGATTTTTCAAGTTATATTCCCACAAAATGTTCATTATGTTGTTTTCCAACTCAATAATATTCTGTGATCAGCTCTTACCTTTTCCTGTCTAAAAATTAAATGCATAATAGAAATACATTGTCATATCAAATTAAATACATATAGTTTACTTAGTAAAACTCAGGAATCAGTTGTTTTATTATTATTTTTTTTTATAAAATCTTCACCAATAGCTGTAAACCTAAATATAAACTCCATGTTTATGTATCTACAAAAATAACAGCATTCTATGGCAATATGGTGTTGGAAGAAAGGAGAAGTTGATAACTACTATGTTTAAGAAAAGCATGTCCTTTTAAAGAATGGGGTGGTGAGAGCTGACCTTTTTAGATCCTAAGAGCAACAGTTCAGCTCAGCTTCACTCATTCTAACTTTAGCTGGTCCTAAAGTAGGTCAGTAGTGAGCAAAGCTGCAGACTGCACTAATGCAGGTCCAGTGTGAGTCTAAGGAAGCTTTCCAGGTTCTGTGAAATTGGGAGCTTCATATTTCATCTCTGCTGCATTAGTCCGGTGAGGGCTTGATAGTACCAGCGCAAACTAGTTATTGTGACACAGACATAATGTTGTGCGTTGCCTCACTATAGTGAAAATAAAAATTCTGAGAAAAGACTTTGTTTTCTAGGTACCAGGACACCAACATATATGTAAAATTACATTGTTTCGCTCTGAGGAAATAAATAGCAGCTTTTCTTACTGATATTTCTTTGAAAAATAAAAAAAGAGGATAATTGCATGTGTTTCTTGGCATGGTACTATCGCTTTAAGTGAAAAGCTGATAGCAGTCAAGCTTTGTTTCCTGAAAACATATGATTACATCCCAGAGCTTTAAGATGGAAGCAGTTGTGTTATTTATTCACACAATAGAATCTCATTTCTCCTTTTTTTTCTCGTTGACTAGAAAACATTTTGTGGTTTTATGTTAAAAATTGCCAAACAGCAAATATACAGTAAAGGTGCTGCTGAGATACCTGTCCTTCGTTATCAATAGATTCTGTTTGTGTAGGAAACATTTTAGCCTGACACAGTTCATTGTTATTGGACCGCCATTACTCATAGATTATATCAATGCAGGTGGTGCAGCCGATGATGGTGCCTTGACTTACAGTAGGGTGTGACTGTGTGCTGAATGCAAATAAGCCGCTTCCTTTTTTGGTGGTCGTTACAGAACTTTTCATTTTAATAAAAGTGACAATAGAGAATAGGACATGAGCAGTTATTTACATACACTAAAAATGACAGATAAGCTTTTTTTTTGTCTCTGATATTGTAATCCTTTTTTTTTTTGTGTGATTTATAAATGGCAGAGGCGTCCTTTACCAATATTTCAAAGTTAAAAGTTTACATATATTTCCTGTTTTACTGTTACCATAGTTTTTTTTTTTTCGATAACCAGCACTAGCTTTTTATGTCTTTAGATTTGTGACACCCACTTGAAAACAATGACAATGTTTTCCTTAGGCCATTTTGTTACACATCTAGCTGTAAACTGTTTTATTTTTCACTTGGATGACCCGTTAGTGTCCAATTGTTAATGTCCTTATATATTTAGATATTTTTGAATTCAAAATTTTTATCCACTTTATCTATTTGAGTAATTGTTTCGTTCTGTCCTGCAGTAAATTACCCACACAGCATGATGTTGCTATTCCTTAATCTCACAGTTGTGATGGTGGTATCAGGCTCTCAAGCTTCCTTATTCTTTTTTCAAATATAAAAATGGTATAAAGGTAATTTCATTGTAACATTTTAACAGTTATGGAAGTTTCTTTTCTAAATTTATTTATTTATTTATTTAGGTTATGTATTCCTTAGCACTGAATGACAGCTCATGAGGGAGTCACAGGACTTAATTCCTTGTAGAGAATAGAAGTATATCAGCTTAATGGAGTATTTTCACATTATCTTAAGGGGTTGATATACAAATTTTGCTGCAAAGCATGTTCATCTCTAGAGCAATCGTTGATACAAATGAAAAGATGAACACAGAACTTTTAGGCCTCTAAACCAAATAATAAATCAGACTTCTGGAAATTCACATTTCTCTTCCATTTAAAGGCATAGCAACCTTAATCTTACTGTATTTAAGCTCCCTTAATTTAAAAAGGGAAATAACTCAATCCCTCTCTCATTTTTCGGTCCTTAGCCAACATAAATTATTTAACAAATCATAACTAACCTCAAACAGGACATATTTCATTTGATAAGAAACAGAAAAAAAAGTTATACATTTTTTATATCTGGTTTAGGCATCTGGTGTCAATTGTATTTAAAAGTTTTAATACCGATGACTGATATGTCTCCCAGACAATGCTAAGTAAACGTCAGATTCAAATTAAACTATAATCTTTTACAGATACAGGGCCTTGCAAATGTTTTCACATCCCTTCAGCTTTTCAAAATTTCATCACTTCACTGCAAAAACTTAATCAGTGTTCCTCTGACTTTATGACAGATCAACATTAAGCGGATCATATTTGTGAACTGGAATAAAAATTGATTTGAACATGATTTAAAAGTACAAATCGGAAAAGTAGTCAGGCAGTTGTGTCCCTCTCCGTCCATTCTTAAACCTCTAAATACAATACAGTAAAAGCAACCGTTTAAATTATGCTCCTCAAACCTAGATTTAATAGAAGAGTGGAAAGTAAAAAGATTTAAAAGAAAGCCAAAAAGTATTGTGGTGTTCTTGATGAATTGTGATAGCAACAAACCGTGAGGATGCTTTTCTTCAAGCAGGACAAAGAAAGCAGGACAGAATTCAATGTATGTTGGATTGAGCTGGAAAAGAAAAAACAAAAACAGTTTCCATAAAAGGTAGTTCTGTAAAGAATAGATGCACTAGGGGCTTCATTTCACTAATCTGCAATATTTTGTGTTGGTCTTATTTCAGATCTTAGAAGATTGGAGCTCCATTTTCTATTGCTAATGAGGTGTTGCAAATTAATATACAACCCAGGTTAAATACAGTATGTCGAATAAGGTATAATTTTTTTAATCTTTTTTTATCAAAAGACTATAATGCTGCAAAAAATATAGTGGTACATATTTTTTAGCATTTTTGCACATCCATATTAGAGGCACAGTACATGTTAACGTTATTGAATAAAGTATTTTGTTAATTGGGGTTGAAAACTTAGAACATCTGTGAATGCAGCTATGTCTAAGTAGTATTTAAGTAGGACGTGACTCTGTTTTAGCTCTGACATAACATTTCTGAGGGTGAAACTGTGCTAAATTCATGGTCCACTGTTATTGGTCCCTAGGTCTCACACCCCTTCTAGTGACCAGCTGTGCCCTCCCTTTGACAGACATTACGTCTACTTTTCTGATAACAGATTTACCATATTGTAATTATTTTGATACATGCAGTGGCTTCAGTTAATGCATTTGTGCGTGAAGAGACTATAAGAGTCAACCGCATCATCAAGCTCAAAATTGCAATTGTTACAAAAAGTGAGTTATCTGAATTTGCATACTTTAATTTAATCCCTATAGATGGAATCAGTTTATCATAATGATTTAAGACTAAGTGAGCATAGTAGGATTTACATTCTGATGCATTTAGGCTTGTGCGAAGCAGGTACTTGTTGGGAAATTTGAAAAGAAATGAAAAAGAAGGACTTTTGCAAATGTATGTAAACTGATGGTGTAACTGCAACTTTTTCATCGTGCATGCTCTTGCTTGACTTCAAGCTGCTTGGAATAGCCAACGCATGTGATTCTTCCATATTCTATTTTAAAGTCCTGGCAGTCTATCAGCTTGCACTTCTTACAGCAGTTGAAAAAAGTTAGCATAAATAATATCGAAGGACTTCATTATTTGAAATCTTTCAGACAGATTGATGTTTAAAGTTCACCACTTTAAGGTAAGTGCTTATGAGGGGTTTATTTTTTCTATTTAGCTTTTTTTTCCCCCAATTAATATAATCCTCACCAGGCGCTCTTTACCCAGACACTCAAGGTTGTTTCAGTTGGTCATGATAACCTCTTGTTAAGATGTCATTTTTCTGTGTTATTTATATTAACAGAAAACTTGACGGTGTAGTCACGTCAGAGAGAGGTCACATGATTCAGACGGGCTACCCTACTTTAGCTGTGTTTGTGTATGTGGGCAGATAATCGTCTCTCAGTATTTTACAACTTCCTCTGTTTATCAGCAAAACTAAACCTAGTCTAACAGTCACTTGTTGCATATATTGACAGATTGA